AAAAGAAATAGCAGTAGATCTGCAAACTGGGAGGAGATAGAAAGAAAAAAACCCTAGAGGACTTGGGAATTCCAACCCCACTCTCCATTACATGTATAGGACAAGGAAATAGCAAATGTACATCACATACACTAATGGTGTAATCTCCTCCTAAGCTTTGTTCCTGTCTCCATGTGTACCATCAGGCATTTCCATGTGTTGCAATTGCATGGAGTTACATGGAATGTTTCTCCACAAGTAGCCTCTTTCCAGAGGGAAACACCTGAATAACTGTTATGGGAGATTTCTCATTTTATTTTGGCACTTGATAGTTTGAACAAGGAAAAGAAAAAACAAAATCCTTCTCCTCTCCTCCCTTTCCTCCCCATCTTTCACTTCCCATCTTTGTTGACACCCCCAAGAGGTTTCTCTGCAATACTTTTGATTCATTCTCTCCGAGGGAAATAAACCTGCCCCACGTTTCCCAGATCTGACTTAATTTGGACTAAACAAGCTTAAAAGAGCAAAGAAAAAAGCTCATGATTATAATTTCTCAATGACAGTACTGAAACTATTTACAAAAGTTTAAAAAGTAAAACATAAACCTGAATTAGGCACTCGATCTCTTTTCCTCTAAATTCCTTCAGATCAGGTGGAGAGCTGGCACATTGTGCTCATTGTCCTTATAATGAGCTTTCGAAAACTGAACCTTCCCTCCCCTTTGGTTCAGTGTCAAATGTCCATCTTCTCCTGGATGCCTCCCTTTCTGCTCAGCTCATGATGGGATTCGGTGCAAGTACAGTAAGGAAGACATCTCCATCCCTGGGGAGATGATCATCTTTATCATATTACTTATCTATGATTCTACTTTCCAGTGTGTGCTGTCTGAGTTACAGGACCTAACTGCTATTCAAAAGATTTATGACTATTAACACATAGTATTTCATTTATCCTGCATATTGTTGACTTTGTATTTGTTCTATTAAATCTGGCCCCCAGCTCCTTTTGATCTGTTTGGGGGTTTCTGCCACCGTATGTATTTTAAGAGTACTTTTGTGATGGGAAAAGAACAAAGACAGAAAAGGTAGAATCTGAAGGATGATTTAGTAAACAGTGCAGCAAATCAATGGGCAAGAGGTATTCTAGCACTGAAAGAGCATTTGCTTTCTTGGGAGAGCTTTTGTTTGTGTGCAAGATGTGATGATCGGTGTGTGTGTATGAAAAGATGATTTTGCTACATACTGTAAATCAGCTTGGTTTAGAGAAATTATTTCATTTTTAAAGCAGTGGTTCTTCATTAGGTAATCAGAACTTCATTGTGCTCTGCAGGCACCACAAAACAAAATGTCACAAAAGCTCAATAGCCACTCGTGTGACATTTCATTTTGTGGTGCCTGCAGAGCACAATTGTTCCAAACAGCTGGAAGAGCAAACTGTGTAACGATAACAAGCTTTTATTGTTAAATTGAGCATCCATGTTAGATGCTATATTGGATACATACAGCAGCCAGAAACTCAGTAACTCTACTAATGGTACATGCTTCTCCTAACCTGACTAAAACTTAAGTTTGCTCAGAGTTACACTCAGAAACAACCTACTCTGTGGCAGGAATGGAATTACTCCAAATTTACTGTTCCAACTCAGCTCTGAATCAGTTTTCCAAAGTATACTGGTTTTGGCTTTAAAAGTAGTGGAATTGGGCTTGGGTTTTTACCAGAAAACATCACCACCACAGGAGGATGTCTATTGTTTTTAAACACCCGTGAGGAAGACTGCTTACCACTATGCCCTTAACATTACTAACTCCCTCCCTGTCCCAGCCTCTACCTCCCCTGACATCCCAATTCTAAGATTAAATCTCTTCTGATGCCTCTCTCTCACTGGAATTAAAATATGGTGTATCTGGTGAGTGATATCAAACCAGAGCAGATTAGAATCGCTTATTTAGCCTCTTCCTGGATGTTTAAACTGTCATTTCCAAGTGATCTGCTTTAAATAAATGATCAAAAAGAGGTATAATAAAACTAACCACTACTAACAAACTACTTCCATTGGAAAGAGGAAAAAAAGTACTGAAGCTTCTTGTTTATCACAACTCTCTTTTCTCTGATATTTTACTTTTTTTTCCTTACCTTTGGTATAAGTGCAAGGAAAAAAAAAACCATCTTTAAAAACAGCAAAGTGGAAACTCACCCCACAGCCAATGGTATGAAGAAAAGCTTGAAGGTGCAAGGGCTGTAAGATAACTAAGTTGAAAAAGCCAAGGACCCACAAGAGGAGACACTTGGGACCACTCATCCCTTGTAAAACAACCGAGTCATCACAGGACCTTATAGGAAAGCAGCCCAGCAGAAGTGTACAGCCATCAAACTTATCAAGACTACCATCTTATTTTCCCATTGTATTTTAAACCTTCCCCATCCTGCCTGCTGTTGTGTTCCTAACCCTTTGTCTTCCCTTCTTATTTCCTCACTGCCCACATCCATGTTCTTCCTCTTCTCACTATGACACCATGGGCGGGCAGTTCTGGGATGCAAGGATGGGTGCAGACACCTACCACACAAGACAAGGACCACACAATAGGTGCACAGGGAGGTGGAAGGCAGGATGGCTGCTTGTGGGCCAGGTCATAGCAGATGACAGAGTGAAGAGACGCCAGCGGCAAAAAACTGTCAGGAAGCAGCAAGAGCTGAGGGACAGCAACTGGAGACTTCAAACCCTGATGACAACAAGTTGTTGGATTTGCTGCTGCAATATATTATTTTTACATGTCTTGATTTGTAAGGGGAAAAGAATGCAAATTTTTGTTATGCTTTTGACAGAAGTCTAGAGCTTTTTTTCCCCTCCTTCTTCATAATCCTCACCTTTTTGCATCAGTTTTATGGAGATATTACAAGACACACCAGCCTCAGCTCTTGTCCTGCTTTTTCTCTCAGACAAGCACTGGGTGCCTGTCCCACACACACAGTGAGGACACGGCAGAAGTGCTGATGCAGTAGCATCAGTTCGAACACTAGGGATAAAGCTGTATCAGCTTTTCTACTATGCACACTTCCTCCTGACCTTCTATCTCTGTTAAAAATACAACTTAGGTTTTAACCACCCCTCACCTCCTCAGAACAACCAGTCTTACAGCCTCTCAACAAGCAACCTTAATTTATGAACATATAAAAAACATCTCTGTAAAGGTCATTATGATACAGCTCTTTTAATTCATTTTTTGATACTGAATTAAATACTATGGCAATGAAATAAGCAAATACTAACCCTTTACTTATTTCTAACCCTTTAGGGTACTTGCAAGAGAGTGACTGCAATTAAAGCTTTAAAACCAATTATTTTCTAATTTGGGGAAGTGTTAGTCTAGTATTAGTGTTAGAATGGCTTACTTAGGCAGGCCAGAAGGCAATCTGTACACTGTAGGGACACATACTCAGTGTGTTTCAGTAAGGCAACCCAGAAAAGCTCCATTACAGACACTGGATTCAGCCAAGCCTATCTTTCCCATGAGTTTGCTCAGAGCAAGAAGGCAGAGAGGAAAGAGACACATACAAAAAATAAGGACGTGAAGAACTGACTCACAGTGTGACTGCAAGGTTTTCCAGGCTATACTAAGAGAAGAGCCCTGGGCTGCTTGGAAGGTCATTTACCAGCTACAGTGTGATGAGTCAAAAGAGTAGGTACTATTTATGAAAGAGGTAGAGAGAGTATCTAAAAATCATTCCACCTGTACTAGAACGTACTGTTCAAAAACCCAAAACACTTGAGTCCAAAAACAGATGAGTAAGACCAAGCAAGGTCTGAAATGGTCTGTGCCCTATAATTACTGCATTCTTGGATCACCCTGTGCTTGTTACTCTGGTTCTGCATTCCTATGCCTACAGCACCCCCCTGAAACCTCAGGACATGCTTCCAAGGGAGCATTAGGCTCTGCTTTTGAAACCTCTGTCTAGTATCCCACTGCGTGACTAAGAATTTGGCAAGCAAATCCAAAGCCAAGGGCTGCCACCACAGAAAGCAGCTGTCAAATAGAAATTAAATTATCACCGGGAACTAATTTTAAAGCTCAAATCCTTACCACAACTTAAGTTGCCTCATCCAGCAAGACAACAATATAAGACATTACTGACTTCACAAGTCAGCATCAAATGGGTCAAGCAAGACTACTTGGCGGAGTGACACTTCAGTAGTTACTGGAAAAAGGTCAGCCATAAAAAGATGGAGCCCTCCCACTGTAAGACCTAAAGATGCTCAGCAGCCAGCAGAGGGGCACTCAGAACCTGGCAGTGCTGGTGACAGCACAGGTTACTGGCCAAAATTCCAGCAGAAATACACCAAACCTCCTTCTTCCCCACCGTTTTTACTGTTAGAGCAACGCATGTATGTCCTCTTGTGTTTCTAGTATCACAAAGCTTTCAAACCTCATTTTACATGACCTGGTGGTATTAAAGTGTTCTCACCACCAACCCAGATGACAAAGCCCTTTTCAAGAAGAAGCAGCACGCTCAACAGAAGTGAGTGAGCAGATGTGTGATGGTATCATCACCTGACAATGGGCTGAACTGCGTAATCACTTGGGGCTTTCCAAAAACTACCCGCTGACCATACGCAGACACAGGGCTGTGTTTTGCCAGTGTGCTCCATTTGTATAAACTGGCAGCTAATAAAGCTATAAGCCCTATTTTAAGAGTAAAATCATGATTAAATGTATCACTGAGCACACATTATGGTTATCTTCCTTCCTGAGACCTACAAAGCTGATCTTTCCAGATACATCTTAAAAAATACTAACAATTAAGCACGAATCTGCCTCCAAGGGGGGGACTGCAAAAGACTGCAAGGGGGACACAGCAAATTCTAAGGGCAATCTAAAGCACCAATGTGGCTCTCTAACTTGTCAAACGGTGTCCAAGGTTCTCCAGGCAGGACGAGAGCATCTCATTCTGGAGACACCCCCTCCCACCTCGTCTGTAAGACTGCAGCGGGTGGAGGGATCCCGAGGCAGGGAACCGGACCATACCTTCGTGGGTAGGCTCTGGGTCAGGTGTCAGCGAGATGTCATCCAGCTCACGCAAGCAGAGCCATTCTCCATCCATCGACACTCGGAATTTGCAAAGATAGATGGTCTCCATGGCAGCCTGAGTGATCTTGTCTGTGGTGGGGGTTGGCATGTCGCTTTGAGGCGTCAGAGCAGACATGATGACTCAGCTGGTACAACAACAACGGGAACAGGGGGAAAAATCAGGACTGAAAAGCTTTCCGAAGAAGAAAATGAGAAATACCTTGCTGTTAAAGGACAGATGTGCTCAGGGTTGCACAGGCTGCTCTGGCCTTTTCATATATAAAGCAAGGTAAAAACGCTGCTCCTTAAGGCTCCTCTCTTCGTCCTTCCTTGCCACCAACTGTTGTCGTCTTCAGCTGTGCTAGAGGCTATTGATCCTAAGCAACCACAGGAGACCTGACTGCTGCATCAAAGCCAGGAGGTGGGAAAAAAACAAGGTAAAAAAAATTAAAAATAAAAAAAAAAAATAAAAAAAAGCAGAACAAGGAAAAAGAATGGCTTCCTCTGCTGATTACCCAAGCAAAAACAAAGGAAGAATGCAGAGATGGATATCCAGGTTTGCCAGAACCACGCTGCTGGTCCGTTTCTCCCAGCAAAGCCGGAGTGCCGACAGGATTGGCTGTGCGCAGTGAGCAGGGTGGTGACCAAAATGGCTGACTAATGAACTGAACTGAAAAATCAGGCTCATGTGATCAGCTGCTCCAAGTGGAGGGCAAGCAATTCCCAGGATGCTGATGCAGGGACAGCAATTAGGCTCTCCTTATCAGGCTGTGCTAGTCCATTTGGGAGCAAGCATAAGGCACCATGCAGGCTTCTCATCTGTCACCTCCAAACTACGAAAGAGGCACAGGCTGGCAGCATGAGGAATACAAAGCCACATTTGTATTCCTTTCACATGCCTGGATGCCACTACAGGAATTAAAGCACCACCTTTGTTTTCACAGTAAGTGTGCAAGTCACAGTTTGTGTTTTAGTCGCTGTGCTACCTTCCCAAAGGGTACCTTTCAGCTAAGATTTCCCACACACAAAAAAACGTTCAGATGGATTTAATTCTCTTAGGGAAACAATAAGGAAAAAAAGACCTGGCTCCAAGCACTTCAGTGATTGAGGATTAAGCTCTTTTAAGAGGGCTCATGCACATGGAAGAACAATAAGGGTGAATACCACAAACATCTATAAGGTCCATGACTGAATATTAGTGTTTCAAAACCTCATCTGAATATTGGCACAGCTCAGGCAAGGCTGATGAAGGAGTATAGTCCCTCAGCAGGCAGACAAACAGGCTTCCAGTGACTCAAAAATAGGTGACAGCACTGTGCTGCCCTGTCCCATCCCAGCCAACTCCATCTCCTCCATTTCCCCAAGCCACCTCTCAGGGACAAGAGGTCCCAGGTCACAGACACCCTCCTTATTCCCAAGGTCACTGTTTAACCAGGGCACAGGACACAGTATCACCACCCACCTGAACTGTGGTATGAGACAACAACAAATTAGTTTAATCTTGATTCCTGCGTGGCTCCAGTATACCTATTGAGATACAGAGCATCCACCTGAAATGGATGCCTAGCTCCCCTTCCCCCCCGATAAATTTGGACAAGACTGATTGTTCACCAGAACAGTATATTTATAGGAACGCATGAATGATTAATGCATTGGACCTTATTCTCTGTACTTTCTCTCCCCTGAAGAAATATAAGGATGGACATCTATTGCTTCAGGATACGAAATACAAAACCTGATCATTTGACAGAGAGTTCAGCACACCAATGCATACAAGTTTTTGAAGAAAAGCACCCGTTATGTAAAATCCTCCTAACACTGACAAAAAGGGTTAAGAGCTATTAGTTCTGACAGGCAAGAGGAAGTTGCTTTCAGTGAAAACTTCCTGCTCAGTGATAATATTTTGACTCAGCAACTCTTTCCAAAAGAACCATGCAGCGTGTTATTACAGTGATGCAAAGGAGAGTTATTTCACAAATGACAACAGCAACTATTGTTCCTCCCCCCTGAGAGAGAATGGGGTTTATAAACCGTGCTGACAGCGTTTTCACTCCTATGATATTTACACCTCCTGTCATCAATGACAACCTCAAGTTTCACTGCTTTTAACCCAGTGGAAGTCACCATATACAAATGGCCACAGGAGAACAGCTGGTCCCTCCTGCTAACCTTTTGAAAGTGTCTAAACAAGCAGCAAATGATCAAGATAAACCCTTAAGAATCAACACAGTACTATTAAGTTCTTGTGTAAGGTGTTGTCCAACATACCTAATCCTCAGTTTAATTCTTTTTTGGTTTGGACCAATTAGAAATGCAAACAGCGTTAGGTGTGACCCAGCAGTTCCCATTTCACAACACAGGTCTTAACTGAACACAGCAAGGGCAAGCTGAATCACTGCATCACAGCAGAGCTCTGTTAAATAAGTAACTGTTCAACTTCCATTGGATTTCTTTTATACAATTTACTTCTTAACATGAAGAAATAAACAAAGCCAGTCTGCCCTGTCCACCTCAGTTCTATTTTCAGACTCTTCTACGCAATGTTCCTGCTGCAAATACTCCTGGAAATTATTTTCCAGCTTCAAATAATTTCAGTTTGTTAGTATTTTTTGCTCAAAACAAAGCTTTGGACACAATATACCACCTAACAGGTTGTGAACAATGGCCACCTTAAAAGAGAGCTACTTCACCTCTCTAAAACTGTACCTTCTATAAGAAAAGGATTATATGTAGCATAGATATACTTAGAAACACTGATGAAAAAAAGAGAAAGGTATCAAATATTTGTATTTTCATAAATCCTTTGATTTACTGTGCAACTCAAGGCCTACTGATAAAACTCCATCAGGATTCAAGTGGTGGTCCATAGATGAAAGAAAACCACATGTAGGTATATATGAAGAGAAGTTATTCACAAAGAACCACTTTCTCAATCTCAAACAAGTCAGACAGCTTTGGCCGGTCTTACAAAACCTTCCTGTTAGCCACACTTCGGCAAAAGCAGACAGAGGCATTGGCTAGATGACAAAACAAGGCAGTTTTTGCAAAAATGTTTTCATGATTAAAGAATTAAAAATTGACTGTGTTGTAATTTTAAGACTAACCACCTGAGAGCAAAGCACTCCATCAGCTACCAGATTTGAAAGCTCAGCTGTACTGCAAACTATTTTTAGTTTCAAAAGCTGAGTAACTTAGAATCATCTAAGCAATAAAACCCAAATGAATTCCCAAACAGCCTTTTGGGCTCCAAGGGGCACCTTTGGGTGTACTTTTACCTCCAGTGCCAGCAAGCTGAGCTTCAGACAGTAGGATAAAACTTTTCCCCTCACTGTGTACAGCAAAGCAGCTGTACAGCAAAGTATCAGTGTTGGCAGATGAGACTATTACTTCAGACTATGAAGAAATACAAGTCTTTATATTGCAGCCTATGACAAGTATGAATCATGAGCAGATTCCTCCAAGTTCTCCTAATGCTTGTAACCTGTTTGTGACTGCTCTATCAGACCCAGAAACCTGGCAGCCTGGTCTAGTAAGGCAGCTCCCAATTTCTAAGGGAGACAATTCTGATGTTCCTATTTTCTGCCCATGCTCTTGCCTGACACGTGAAAACCTCCTTCTAGCAAACCTATGAACATGACTTTTGCTCTCTCTTTCTTTCATTTCAGCTTCAACTCCACATCAACGTGCTACCCAACTCAATAGCTGCACTGGTTGTGATGACTAGAAACAGCACCAGGGCTGTGCCTCCTTCAAAAGCCAACAGAGCTACTATTCCACAAATCACATGCTCTTCCAATAGCCTCTCTCCAGGCAATCTCTTAGGTGGAATGTAATCTAAACAGATAAAATTAGTAACAAAGCATCTACACTGCAAAGCCTTCTGCCAGCACAAATTCATATGTTACCTCAAATAACAGCAGCACTTTGAACCCTGCATGCTAAAAACATAAGTAGGCAAAACAAAGTTTAACAACCTGAAAAGCAGTGACACAATTCCTTAATTCCTGGAATAAGTGACAAACTTTTTTGTCTCCCTACTGTGAAATGCAGAGATATTATTTAAGGATTCTCGTAAATCCGCTAATTGAGGACACCTTTAAAAAAGGGGAAGGAAAACTGTACTTGAAGTATCATGGTATCTGGTAGGCTTTCAGTGGGAGCAAGGAATTATTCTGGCAGGGTTTTTATTTTGTTTGGTTTTGTTTGTAAAGACAGCATAATCAAGTTGCTTTCACTGTAGTTCCTGCAGCTCAGCATGTTTAAGTAAATCTTCTGCTTCCTTCTGTCTGTATGGAACCACCTGTTTCTAAAAAGCAGCTTAAAGTACCCTTCAATCCTGTTGTAAATCCTCTTGAGAGACAACAATTTAATGATTGGGTCGTAACAGGAAAAAAACCTCAAGACTAAATAAACCTCCAAAACATTCTGGAGTATTGACTGTTTGGTGTATTGGTCTCTACCTCCACTATAACACATGAATGTCAATACAGAGTAATTATTTTTGTTACTGATCATGGAAATAACAACCTTCAGGTGCTGAAGGGAGGAACCTGTGATGCAGCAGGAAACACCCTTCACTTGAATTGCTTCTTTCAGTTCACAGCTACATAGAGAGGAACTAATATTCATAAAGTATAACACTTGGATTTTTTAATGCACATGCAAACTGCAAAAATAGCCTTTCTTACATGCATTGGTTTATCTTAACTCTAAAAGTAGTTCCAGCACTGAAGGATCAAGAGAAGCAGACATGAATCACTTCAGTTACTACTGTGGAAAAAGGAGAAGCAGAGCACAGACGTGACAGTCTTCATAAGCCGGACCACGCTTAACACCACGGCACAGAATGACTGTCATTTATAGGAGATACAAGAAGGGATAATATCTGCAAGGCCACATGACTCTACAGGTAGTCAGGATTAGCCTCAGCATCTATGCACACAACATCCTGTCTGCTCCCGAGTGAAGTTCAACCCATTGCTTTAAGGACAACCCAAAGCAGCAAGTGAATGAAGTCTTGCTCAATGATAAATGCTCTTACAGACATGAGAACCAGGAAAAAAATTCTCAACAAAAAAAGCAAGACATGTTGAAAAAACATTATTTACAGACAGAGTTTGCCTCAGGAGAAACAGA